TTTTTTTTTTTCCTATTTTTTACGTTTTTAAATCAACATAATTTAAGAGTGCCCAAAAGTTTATTTGTGGGTTAAAGTGTATTGTGAAATTAAAAAAGGCTGAAACACTGCTCTATAATTTACTACACTTAATCTCAGCCAAAAGGTCAAGAAGTGAGTCTCTATAATTTACAGGTAAGTATTTTTAATTGACAATTTCCCTTAAACTTGTCAGGTTGTTGATGGGAGGAGACAGCTTAGCACAAGCGCATGTGCTGGTGTCAGAGAACTTGGGTGCTAATCCTCCCTCAGCCACGCACTAGTTATGTGATACTGAGTTATTTGTTAACCTTCCTGTGCCTCAGACCCCTGCTCTATAAAATGGAGAAGATAATTAATACTACTTACCTCTTGGCATTGCTGTGAAACTAAGACATAGTTGGGGGGCATCTTAGGGCAAGGGAGCAGATTCTAAATTTAGCATATAAGGTAAAACCTGCAGAGTGAAAATCCCCTTCATAAATCCATCCAGTGGTCTGCAAATCATGAATAAGGCTGTTTTCCATAGAAAGATTAAAACAGTCAAATGCTTTCTCTGCTTGGAAGCCATCAGCCAATAATGTTAACCACCTACTGGGTCTTCTATAGTTATTATGTTAATCCTCCATAAATAATTTTATTCGGGTCTGTAATTCTCCACTAGTAAATAGTTCTCCGTGGCCCCTGTTGATCCCTCCATTTCTTTCTTCAGACGCCACTCAAACTATCACTACCGACCTGTCCAGCAAGTTCTAAGTTAAGCATCAATTACACGTTCTTCCCACCGGTTTCCCAACCATCACTGGGGCTGAGGCTAATGCTGGGAAAAACTGAGGAACAGCAGTTGGAGATCTTAAAGCTGATCTCCAACCTCCTGCCTTTTCCGCTCTGCTCCTAGAGTGGAATGGTGGATCTGGGACAGCCACGTGGCTAGGTTTCACTGGGTTTCTAACTCTATTTCTGTGTCAAACTCATGCATATACACATAAGTTAGAAATAAAACAAAAACTGTGTGTGGACAGAACTGTTGATTCATATATGCATATGCCTGAAAGTATATATATATTTGTGTATATACACACACACACTCACGCATGCACTTCATAAGGTCTGGAAGACACTCAACTATTGACAATACTGTCACTAGGTAGAGAATTTGGAGAGTTGGGAAAATTTAACAAGATCTTTTGCTTTTTGTATAAATTTTAATAACTTAATTAAAATTATATATAAGTCAAATCTAAGTGTAGAGTATAAATGTCATAACACAATAATTAAGAAAGTGAGGTGAAGGCTATGTTAACCAGTTAGTTGTAACTATTTCAAATTGTATATAAAACCAGCACAGTGTACATAAATGCATTAATGTATGCAGCTATGACTTAATAAAAAGACTATATATAAAATTACATATCATCTTATATATAATTAAAATTAATAAGAACAACAGCTAACACTTGTTAAACTCTGGGAGCCAATGTATTTTATGGAAATCTATGGCTCAGATATCTCAAAAAGGCAAGCCAAAGCAAAATAAAAAAATGCAGTTACTTCAATATTGACTGTTATGTAAAGCCAGACATAAAACACCTGGAGTTTTAAAGGTTTTTGTGAAAAAAGCATGTTGCTGGAAAAGAAAACGGTTGTCTTCCATAGCTACTATTTTTTCGAAAAGAATGGAACGATGGGGAAACTCCTGCCCGTGAACGCGTGTTCAGTCCCACAGGTGTTCACGCGCACCTGTGCCTGCTGCGCCGTGAACGCGTGTTCGTTCCCACAGGCG